TTTTTTTTTTTTTTTTTTTTTTTTTTTTTTTTGGTACCAGGGATTGAACTTGCGTCCTTGTGCTTGCAAGGCAGGCCGCTGAACCACTGAGCTAAATCCCTGGCCCACCAGGATTCTTATATGGGAAAGAGCAAGGCAGGAGTGTCAGAGAAGAAACATGGCAAAAAAAGAGGGGGAGGTGAGGTGCTGTAAGGAAGGAGGAAAGGACCTCAGCCAAGGAATGCAGGTGGCTTCTAGGAGGTGGAAAAGATACAAAACTGTCTGTCCTAGAACCGATGGAGGTAACACAGCTCTCACAATACCTAGGTTTTAGCCTATAGGAACCATGCAGACTCCCAACCTGTGGAACTATAAAATAATAAATTGATATTATTTGAAACCACTAGGTTTGTGGTAATTTGTTACAGAATAGAAAACTAACAGCATGGTGATTATAAAACCCCAAATAAGACTTCAGAATAAGTACTGTTAAATATAAGTTGTGGAAAGGCCATGAACTCCTTTCCTGGGCCCAACAGACCAAGCCAGTATAGAGTTTAATGGCAGTACCTGAGCTCTGCTTGGTTACAGGAGGTCCTGTAACCAATTAACCAGTTCAGCTTAACCAACTGGCTGGCTGTTTGATTAAACTATAGCCAATTTGTTTTCTATGGATCACTTGTTTCTCCCCCCTCCCCCTCCTCCTTCCTCTTCATTTTTGTTGTTATTGTAGTGGTGATGGTTGTAATCGTACTTGGGATTGAACCCAGAGCTTTCACATTGACCTGCAAAGCCCTTTATTTTATTTTCAGAGTCACTGAATTGCTCAAGCTGAGCTGGAATTTGCAATCCTCTAGCCTCAACCCCACAATGTACGGGAATCGCAGGCATGCTGTACCATCCCCAGCTAGGCTCACTTCTGTTTTTCTATAAATAACATCAGATCCCATCATCGGTTGGAGTTCTCAGAGAACCTGCTCTGATCATGGGAACTGCTCTACTGGTAAATCATTTTTATTTTGTTTTGCTTTACATTGCTTTTTTTTTTTTTTCCCTGTGCTAAAATAAACTCTATTTGAAAACTTGGCCTATAGAGTTTTCCCTTTTATAAAAGGTACAAATATTTCAGTAGTTAAATATGAAATATGAAAGGACTGAATCCAGCCACTAGGCTACCAGACTGGCTTTTTAAAACTAGTAATGTGCCCTTCCTGAGAGGTGTATCTAAAACTACACATCGCTGTTGTTCGCTGTTGTCTCTGTTATCTCTTGTAGAGCGACAAACCACCTCCCAAATCAAATGACTCACAGTAACAACCACCGCATCTGCTCCTGCTACGGTGGTCAGCAATTTGGCCTGGGCTCAGCTGGGCAGGGCTGCAAGCCTTTCCTGGGGTCACCCGGCTTGCAGTCATCTACCCTGGCTGCCTTCTCACCATGGGGCCCCTAAACCCCAAGAAAGCCACCCCGAGCATCTGCTCATAGCGGCAGCAGCATGCCAGGTGATGAGCTCAGCAACTGCAAGGCCTCATGGGGCCAGTCTCAGACGTGTCACATCAGTTCTGGTGCCTTATGCAATCAGAGTATGTCACAATGGCAGCCATGACTCAGTAGGCAGGGAAATGGGTTCCATGTTCCAGTGGAAAAACGCAAAGTCTCTAGACAGGGGGTATGGATTTGGGAAGGGAGGACCTTGTGCTTGCAAACCAGGTGGGAGAACCACTGAGCTAAATCCCCAGCCCTCAAATAATTTTGATCATTATTTTTATTAAAATCAAATGGTGGCCAACACCCAAACTAGAAGGTTTGCCAATTGAATAGACTTAGACGTGGTGTTTTATCTACATGGCACAAACCAGCGGAGAGAGTTGGCAGTGATTTGACAGCGATTAGTTTAGACTATACCTGGATGAATCTGGGTAATTCAGACCCCCAGATTCTACTTATGGCCTCAATTATTCACAATGCTTGACATCAATTAAAATACAGAGTGATCATCATTCTTTCCTCTGTATTGTGTAACAGAAACTATTGCACTGAAAGCAGGTTTTTGCCCCCCTTTGAGTTTGCATTCATTCAATCCCTCATCCCCCCACCCACCCCTCCCTCCAATTTAACAAACTTCCAAAACAAACCTAACAACACATCATAGATCCTTGATGTCTTACGTGTCATTGTTTACAACCCCGTTGAGTACTGGTAGATGAGAAAAATACAAAAGGTGGTCTGGGCAGCAAACCACACCGGTGAAGGAAATGCTCAAATGTGCTAAATAAATAACAAAAAAGAAGGGAAGGGTAGGCGGTGGACAGCAAACGAGGGAGTCCTTACCAGGTGGGTAGGAATCCTGCCTAGTTTCTCTCTGGATCTGAGCCCAGGAGCCGTCGGTCGCACGGTAGAGAAAAGCAGCTCAGATCAGACAGCGTGAGTAAGGATGGGTGTGAGGACCGCCGGAGGAGTTAGAATTTCTGCAGCTTTGCAGTCTGCATTCTGGTGTCAGAGCCTCGGCTCTTTTCCTTCTCCCCCACCTATCACTTGCCCACTCCACCCTCCTCCAGTTTTCCTAAAAATTCTGCTGGGTAGGAGAGAGGAAAAGCAGGTGGCAACTGTCCCCCCGCACCCCCAACCCACCCCTTCCGCTCCAGGACCACCTCAATAAGGCCCCTCCTAGGACTGTAGTCTAGCACAGGTTTGTCTGCCGGCTGCAGTCCGAGGCTCCGGAGAGCTCCAACACCCAGACCCGCTTCATCTGTCCAAGCCCTCAGGTGTGGTAAGGAACTCAGAACAGCGCCCATTAGGGCACTGGTGAAGAGGGCAGTGCCCTTCCAAGCACACACGTTCTTGTCCCGCACCCGGGTTCCTGCAGCCGCCGGCCACCACTTCCCCTGCCCTGGCCGCGCTCCTGTGGACCTCGGGCTACAAGGTGCAGCCTGATCCCGCATACATTTCCTTTCCTGTCCTGTGCACCACAGCCTCTGTGCGGGGCGCATCCCTTCCTTTTTCCAGATGAGAAAACTGAGACTGCAATCCAGGGGCAACACCATTGCGCCGCGGGGCTCTTGGATTTCAAATCAGCGTTCTAGCTGCTGCAGAATTTGGGTTTGTTTGCGGGGCGGGGGGAGTTGAACCCAGGGCCTTAGCGCTGAACTACATCCCCAGCCCTTTCTATTTTTTATTTTGAGACAGGGTTTCGCTAAGTCGTTAAATTGCCCAGGCCGAGCTCGAGCTTTCCATCCTCCTCAATCAGCCTTCCAAAGTGCTGAGATTACCGGCGTGTGCGCCGCGACACCCAGCCTCCCCGCTACAGTATTTCTTTGGGGCCTCGCTGGGGATCCCCTGGGGTGCAGCCGGAAAGCCTGGGACAAGCAAACTGGACAGGTCCGGATCCCAGTCCTTGCAAGGGCAGACTCCCACCTCCAGCCCTGTGCAGAGTGCCCCAGGACGCTGGCCAGGTCGCTGCTCCCCGCCCCCACCGCGGGCGCCCAGGCTGCAGCGCTGGGCTCAGACCAAGCCCACCGCGGAGTGGTGGGCGTTGCTCCGCCCTTTGACCTCAGGGATGATGCTGACTGGTGAGAGCCCTAGGGCGCAGGGCAGAGCCGGGAAGACAAGAGCGGCAGCAACGGCCCGCCCGGAGGACGCAGACCCAGAGACCGCGGCCGGCCTGGAGGCATGGAGCGCCGCGTGCGCGTGAAAACCTGGGTGGAGGAGAACCGAGCCTCCTTCCAGCCCCCAGTCTGCAATAAGCTCATGTGAGTCTCCGGGACCCCCATATCCACTCCTCTGTCCTCACCTCCGGCTCTGAACCATTCACCCTCTTGCTCCCAGGGAGTCCCCTGACCCAGGAGCAGGCAAAAGCGGGCTGCTGCTGACGTTCTGACGCCAAAATTCAGGGACTGTGACTGCTGTTCCGGGTTCTGCCTTGGTCTGTTCCTCTTTCTGGGGACTGTAGTGGGACTGTGGCCTTGGCTCTGACGCAGTGAGAGAGGAGGTGGCACAAGGCACCTTCTCCAAGCCACGTCTCTCCAGCCCCAAGCAGCTTCCGTGCGCTTTGGGGAAACTCAAAAGTTGGCGAGTTGGAGTTTCAGTGCCCAGAATGACAGCAGAACTTGGGTCTAGAGACAGCCCCATCTCCCATCCTAGCCCCATCCAGTAAGCCAGCCACAAGCAAAGGGTGAAGTCCCAAGATCAGCTCTTTGGGGGATCTTGATTAATTGTTCTTCCCAGGCCCTCTTTGCAGGAGTGCATGGGTGCATCCCACACAAACGCAGACACTCACGCATTCACAGCCGACCCTCCCTAGCTCACCTCTGCTGCTGGCCTGGCCCTGTCATCTTTCTCCCTAAGACCTCTGGGCCCTCCCATGTGGTCTCCTCCCTCCCCAGTGCCTCAGCTCCCACATCCAGGCCACATCCCCAGAATCTGCTGTATCTGGGAGTCACCTCTGCCCCGATGGCTGCCATCACTGCCCCCCAACAGGCCGCAGGCTCCAAACGGCATCCCTTCATGTCATTCTCACAGGAGTTCCAGGAAGTGGGATTTAATAAGTAACTTTCTCTTGGAGCCGGTGCAGGACAGGGTCCAGACTCAAGCTTATATAATAGTTAGACTCCGAAGTCCACAGATGCTCTGGGTCACCCGTCTGCCTCACAGGCAACATCTCCCCAAAGCTGGGTCTCTTCTCCCCAGCTTGAAGCCTTAGTGTCATCTTTGCCTCTTTCCTCCCCTTCATCCCTACCCACCATTTCTCACACTGAGTCCTCCAGTTTTTCCCCCAGATAGTATCTCACTCCATCCGCTCCTGCCACTACCCCAGTTCTACCCTGGTCGCCCCTAAGCTGGGTGACACAGGCTGCCCAGGCTCAGCATCCCCACTGCCCCTGCAGCACTACCCCGGAGGAGTCATCACAAACGCGGGCCCTCTTGGTTTGTAGTCAGATGTCCACAGAGCACCTACTGCCTGCCAGGCCGGCCTGGACATTGGGAATTCAACCAGAAACAGACAAAAATACTCTCCCGGGAAGCTGAAACAACAAATGTCAATGGGGGATGGAGACGAAGCCTGGCGGGCTGCTGGCCTCAGGTCAGAGTGAGGAGTGCGGTCACCACGTGTTTGGGGCCTGGGGCCTTCCCACTGCCCTTGGCTTGCCGGTATTGCTGGCTTGCCTTGCTTCTAGCCCGTCACACCGTTTCCTGCCTTCATCTTCACAGGCACGGCCCCCTGTGTCCCTGTCCATATTTCCTGTCTGGTCCCTAGCTATGTAAGCTTGTGAAGTCAGCTGCCAACAAGAGGGTTGCATTAGGCGTCTTTATTTTAGCACATTTTAAACAGTGCTTCCCATACCTAAAGCACTGTTCTGAAAGTCTCCAGATAACAGTTTACATAATCCACTTAAACTCTCTGAAGTAAGAGTGTCTCTCCAGTTTACAGATGAAGACACTGGGACCAACAAGGTTAAGTGACATGCCTGAGGTTGATGGCAGAGCCAAATTACGCCCCAGACGCTAGCTGCAGCATCTTTACTTGTTATTTTTAATATTTATTTATTTATTTATTTGGGTGTTGGAGAGATTCAACTCGGGACGTTGAGGCAGGCGGCGGAACCACTGAGCTAAATCCCCGGCCCACCTGTACATTTAAATACATGCCACACTGCCTCAGTGCTACCTCAGTGCTACCTCAGGCCATGGCTAGATGTCACAGTCTCCTGAGGTCCCTGAGTCAGGCCTCCAGCCAGTTGGGAGCAAAGGGTCTGATAACCAGACAGTTCAGGGGCTCCAGTATGCGCTCCTGGAATTGGAGACCCTGGGCACAGCCTAGGATCCTGGGTGGAGAAGCCGTAGATCCACCCCTGTGCGGCTCCCCCTTGCGTCAGACGATACAGGGACATACACGGTCACACACAGCTGGGGATGACGGTGAGGCATAGAGACCTGCTCCTTCTCCCAAGGGTGCCAGGTCCTTCCTGCCCCTCAGAGTCCCTGCGCCCCATCCCTCTTCACTCCAGGACCTCCCTCTCCATTGCAGGCACCAGGAGCAGCTCAAAATCATGTTCGTTGGTGGCCCCAACACAAGGAAGGACTATCATATCGAGGAGGGTGAGGAGGTAGGCCGTGGGGGCCCCGTCCCAACTCAGGGCTGGGTCTCTAGGGGAGGAGACATTTTCTGCTCCAGGACCAGAGCTTGTGGACTGGAGATAGGGGCAGGTGCCTGCAGCCAGAGGGGGACAGCTGGGGTCATAGGGCAACTGCTGGCCTGGCATCAGTGGGCATGCACAGTGACACCTTTGGCAGCCTCTTCAAGGATGAGCCTGGGACCTCTGCAGGAGGAAGCCCAGGGGACAGTCCTGCTCCTGGAGGTGACAGCTGTAGCTGTGGGGCATCCACCCTGGGACACACAGGCTGTCCCCACTCCGAGTGTTCCCCATTCCAACCTCTATGTACACGATAGGCCTCCAAATGAGCCCCTGACGCTAGAGGACCTAGGTCTCCCCTTCCGATGCCACGAGCCAGGTTCTCTCCTCCTGCAGACAGGGTCAAAGTCCAGGAACATGAAGTTGGGGGTAAGCTGGGCTGGGGTGGAGGGGATTAGGGAACCAGGAGGTGGGTGAGGAAGGAGGAGCAAAAGGCTGAGAAGTGGGCATGGACTGGGGCCGAGCACTGAGGAAAGGGGCTGGTGGCCCTTCCCTACCTAGAGAGTGCTAGGGGCTATGTCACCTGGGGGTGAAGGGAGGGACTGCATTGAGCGCCCTTTTCACACTTTGAATTTTGAATTGTATTTTTCCTCTACCTAGCCAAAAAAATATAGACAAAAAATAAAATGGAAAGAGGAACGGCCCCCATAGGAGAGACAGACAGGTTCCCAGCAAACAGTCTCTAGTAGAAAAAGATTAGTGTAGTGGCCGCCATTGTCTCGAGAGAGGCCCAGTTATGGAGTTCAAGGTGGCAAAATCCAGCTCGGTCACTGGCCTCTACCATCCCTGCTGGCTTCTCCCCACAGCCCGGGATGGCAGTGAGCACGGGGGAATCCCTTAGATAGCACATATGCACCAGGCACCCAGCGTGTGCCGGGGCACCTGGACCGTGGGCTCCAGGCCCCTCATCACCCCCTAGGCCTTGTCCCTCTGTGAGCACCCTGCTCACAAACAGCCTTCCCTGGGGACCATCTTCCTCGGTGGAAATGACATAGAGGAGAGAGCAGGCCTGGAGTGGTCTTTCCGCTTGCCTCAGGCAGCCTCGCCCTCCAGGGGTTCACAGTCGCCCTTGTGGCCTTGATACCACATCTGCCCACCTCCTTCCTTCCGTGCCTCTGCCTCTCTGCCCCTCGTCTATCTCCTGGCCTCTCTGTTTGCCCGTGGCTAGCTGTCCCGAGGCCTGCAGGTAGGCAGATGGAGAGGGGCGGGTCCCAGCTGGTGGCTAAATGGTGATGAGGCTGGCTGTGCAGATGTCCTCACTCACTCTGGAAGGGCACTCAGGTGGCCAAGAGTCTGTCTGTGATGGTATGGTCATGCCCGGTAGGGGGGCCAGGTGCTATACCTGCCACAGGTCCTGGGCGACCTTGGAACTAGGCAGTATCCTCTCCGTCCCTGCCTCACCTAGCTAGAGTCTGAGGAGTTGCTTAGATCTGGGTTCAAATCACACCCTTATTGAGCCAGATTTTCCTCCTCTCTGAGCTGTGGCCTCTGTGAAAGCCCTCCAGGACTCCAGCTCCTTTCCCCAGAGAACCCCCAGGGCCGCCTGCCCACTGCTCTGAGCCCACTGAGCCCACTCCTTCCTTGGGGTTAGATGAGCCATTTACTGATCATGCCATCCCAGACAGATGGAATCGGGTGTCCTCTCTGACCCTTTTCTGGTCACACACGGGACCGTGGCCATGCTGGGCGGGAGATTCCCCCATACCTCACCCTACTCCATCCTCCTGCCAGAGATAGAGCCCTCCCAGGCCCTGGAAGCCAGATGTAGCTAATATCAGCTGGAGAGGTACACTTCTTCCAGCTACCTGCAGGCCTCTGAACTCTGCTTACTTCCCAGTAGCTTTGTTCCTTTTGCACTGCCCACAGCTCTGCTGTCAGTGATCTGTCCTCTGCTCCAGGCCAGGCCTGCCCTCGTCCCAGGGAAGGGCACTGGCAGGGGACAAGACAGGACGATTCTGATGCCTTTTTATGTTCTTTGTTCCATGGCCTCTGATAGCCTGTCTGGAGAGGGTTTGAATCCAGGCAGACATCACTGCAGACCCCCCCCTCCCCAGAACTCTGCGGCCCCTCTTTCCCTCCTCTTGACAATACTAGGACACAACACACACGTGCATGCATACGCACACGTGCACACACACACACACACACACACACACACACACACACACCAACCACACGCTTCTTCACAGCTTGGGGAGGAGCTTGGGCATGCTCCGTGGCTCCCTAGAAAGAGAACAAGTAGGATTGTTTTCTTGCAGTATTTATAATAATGGAAGTAAATATTTTTCATTGTAGAAAACAAGAAATACAGGAAGAAGGATGAAGGGAGGGCAGGGGTAAGGGGAAAAAATGAGAACCAAGACCGGTCATGTAACGGTACAAGATCCCAATGACGAATTTAACTGTACTGTATACCTAAAATGTACCCAAAAAAATCAATGAAAAAATAAGAAATACAGAAAGAAAAATGCTTACCTCATTCATAATCCCACCACTCAGGAGGAATATACCCATGAGCACAGGGCCTGTGCTAGTGCTGGTGATATCGCTACAGAGATCAATGTCATAATGATAACACTTTCCGTTTTCTCATTTTTATCAGCAGTTATTCAGAGGCGCAGTTTTTGTTTTGTGTTGGTAGTACTGGGTACTGACCCCAGGGACTTTACCCAAGCTACATCCCTGGCCATTTTTTAAAAATTTTAGACAGAGTCTAAGTTGCTAAATTTCTGGAGCTGGGCTTGAGTCTGAATCCTCCTGCCTCAGCCTCCCAGGGTGCTGGAATTACAGGTGTGTGCCACCACATCAGGCTGTAAAGATTTCGGATAATGTGTAAGAAAGCACTTGGCACAGCTCTTGACTCACAATGTAGGACGGTTCCCTCACTACCTGGATTTCTACATCCAGCCCCTCCCTCAGTCTCCTGCCCCATGCCCTGAACCTGCCTCTGCATCCTGAGTATTTTGATCATTACCTGCTTGTTTGAGACACGGTACCGATGTGACTTTAGCCTTCCTGTCTATGGCCTGGGTCAGGGGAATGAGGGCCTTGGGGCAGCAGAGTTGGGCCTTCAAGAAGTTCCTCAGGTTCTGGTCAGAACCCAGAGCCTGGCAGGGGCCAAGGACATGGAAGAGGAAGCAGGGAGGGTCCCAGGCTCTTTGCTGTTCCACAGGTGTTTTACCAGCTGGAGGGAGACATGGTTCTCCGCATCCTGGAGCAAAGGAAGCACCGGGATGTGATCATTCGGCAGGGGGAGGTGAGGTGGACTCAGAGGACAGCAGCAAGGAACCTGCCCTGCTAGTGCCCCTCGACCAAGGCCCTGCCCTGCTTGTCCTTTCCTGCACACCTGACTGCCCCACTCCCTCCTCAGCCCAGCGGGACAGTCCCTGTAGGGGGAGAGGCTGGCCGAAAACCGGCCCAGGGCGAGGGTGGGACAGCTGGGTGGGACAGCTGGGAGGCCCGGATGCTGCAGGCCCTGAGGTCCGGGTGAGGGATCACAGCCAGGTGGGCCCGGCGGCTCTCCCCCTGCAGATATTCCTGCTGCCCGCCAGGGTGCCTCACTCTCCGCAGAGGTTTGCCAACACCATGGGGCTGGTGATTGAGCGGAGGCGGCTGGAGACAGAGCTGGATGGGCTCAGGTACCCCTTCTTTCCCGGGGGTCGGGGTGGCAGAGCCCAACCACAGCAGAGGTGATCCTAGAGAGACTCTAGAAAGCACTTCCGGCCATCAAGAGCGGAGGGCTTGGAGGCAGGGTGCCCGGGAGAGCCTGCATGCATTTGCTGGGTGACAGGGTGGGGTGGAAAGGGGTGTGTGTGTGTGTGTGTGTGTGTGTTTGTGTGTGTGTGTGTGTCTGTAGGGTGTTCCCTGTGGGCCCCCGGGAGCCCTGGAGTCAGAACCTGTGCTTTCTCATGAGGTCTGCGGGCGGAGAGGCGGACTGAGGAGGACGCACCTAGCCCAGTACAATTTCAGCCTCCAGAGATCTGTTCTGCCAGGGCCTCTCTGCTTGTGGCTCTGCCCCAGAGGTCGGGCTGGCACTTGCTGTTGGCCAGGTGCTGGCTGGAGGCTTTGTGTGTATTTATCCACTGAATGCTCCGATGGGCCTGGGGTAGGCACTGTTATCATCTGTACTTTACGGGAAGAAGAAACTGCGCTAGGGGAGATAAGTTTGCTAGAGCGGGAGTTGCTACCATAGCACCTCAGCACAGAGAAAGGTGAAGTCAGGGTGAGGACAGCAGAGTCAGGACATGGGCACTATGAAGGGGAAGGATGCAGGCCCAGGGTGGACATGGATGCCACAGCTGCTGCCCGACTGTCATCCTCTGAGAGGAGGAGGCTGCCGAAGGTCAGGGGACCAAAGACTTAGCTGAAAATGAAGAGTTTAAACATTTTTTTAATTAAGAAAATTTACATTTCTCATCAAGTTACTGGAATCAAAATTCTTTAGCCTTTGTCTTCTGTTACAGTGGACATTTACAAATCTTCATTTTAAAAAATGGCCAAAGTCATGCACATTTGCTCAAAATCTGAAGAAGTACAGAAATGTAAAATTAACAAAATTAAAATTACTTGCCACCAAAAGGGTGAATTTTATGGTATGTGAATTATATCTCCAAAAGAGATACAAGTAATAAAAAAGAGAAAACAAAAGAACCCTAAAGAAACACTTAGACTTCCATCTTGGCTTTTTCTGTGCATAGCTGTACCTGACAACATTGCAGTGTTTTACATGTATGGGTATGAGTTTCATTTATAACTCATGACTATTTCTCATATTATTAAATCTTAAAAACAAAATGTTGCTGGGCCAGGGATTTAGCTCAGTGGTGCCACTGCCTACCTCCCAAGCGCAAGGTCCAGAGTTCAATCCCTGGTACCAAATAATTAATTAAATAAATAAAACCACCACACAGATTTAATGGCTACATAATAATTGACTGCACAGTATTCAGTTGTAGTCTGTTAAAGACAGGGAATTTCTCCAAACCAAGGGGCTTTATACAGGCAGCCTCCAGAGATGTGAGGACAGTGTCCTCAATAACATTTACAGCAAATTCAATAATGGATTTCATCTGGCTGTTTTTGACCTTTAATAAAAGCCAGGACTCAACATTAAAATACCACTCCAACAGCCATTCCCGGAGGGCACTGTGATCCCGTTATGAGGCCTGCTGGTAGCCAGCTCCATCGTAAGAGGGAATATAGGGCACCAGGTGGGCGCAGGTCACGTGTCTGTAAGCCGTGTCCCTCAGCGTAACCATTTCTCTTTCTTGAGAGCTGAAGAGCAGACAGGCCTGGCTGGCCAGGAGCTGGGCCCCAGGATTCAGTTGACGGATGCTCCGGCACCCCCAGGCTTAGGGGCTTCTCAGCCCAGGGGAGGAGGGTGCTGCCCTGGTGAGGCCTGGGTGGGCTCGGGCCCTACTGAAGGCCGTGTGGATGTGCACGTGGACCTCCCTGACAGAGAGACCCAGAGCTTTGCTCCACTTCTCAAGAGCAGCTCTGACCCGAGAGGAGACACCCTCAACTGGGGACATCTCCACTGGCTGCTCAAGTTTGTTGCTCTGACCAAGAGCATCTAGCTGCCAGCCCTGGATTCAGGCTCAACCTCAGCTTCCTCTTTGGGAAAAACATACCTGGCCCAGATCCTCTGTAAACTCCTAAGACTGTCTTGAACGGGGCCTGCTTTGGCCGTGTACAGCCTGTATAATCCCTGCCGAGATGCCCAGCATCCCTGAGCTTCAGAGTTCTCTCAGCTCTGTAAAGGGGCACAGGTAGGCTTTGGAAAAGCTAGGTTTAGGTGTGAAGGAAAATCAGCCACTGGGTTGCACCAGCAGAGGTAAAACGGGCACCAGGCTCTTCAGTGCCAGGGCTCAGACACCCACGAGCAGAGCCAGGTCCACCCAGACGGGGAGCCAGGTTGTCTGTCCTCTGCTGTTGTAGTTACTTTTCTCACTGCTGAGACAAAATACCCAATACCCAGAGTTAAAGGAAGAAAACTTTATTTTGGCTCACAGTTTGTAGAGGTTTCAGTCCATAGTCAGCTGGCTCCAAGTCAGGGTGGCAGGGCAGAGGGGCATCACAGAGGAGAAACAGTCCATGGAAAAGCAGAGCAGGCAGAAGGCAGCAAAGCAGCAAGCAACGGCAGCCACCCTCTTTCTGTCCCTTATATTCCACTCACACCCAGGGTAGGGTACCCTCAATCCCAGCATCACACCCTCAATCCCACTGTCACACACCCTAGGTCCAGGCACCTCCGAAAAGCCCTTCCTATGACTGCATGAGGCTTTGAGGGGGGGGAATGTCTAGAAACAAGCTGTAACATCTGCTTTGGCAGGTACTTTGTGGGGGACACTGTGGATGTCCTGTACGAGAAGTGGTTCTACTGCAAGGACCTTGGCACACAGTTGGCCCCCATCATCCAAGAGTAAGCCCTGGCCTGGCACCCGCCTTTTATTGCCCTGGGCTCTACAGCAGTGCCCTTGGGCCTGCCAAATGGGGGGAAGTCACCCCTCGTGGGGTGGGGAGGGACTCCCACAATGATGGGAGGGGAAAGGTGGTGGGTACAGATGTCCCAAGCATTTATCTGTCCCTGCAGGTTCTTCTGCTCAGAGCAGTACAGGACAGGAAAGCCCATCCCTGGTGAGACCAGCAACCCCCCG